CCTGAACCCTAAACCCCTAAATACCCTAAGTAAAGCGGCAACCCCGAAGCCCCGAAGCTCCGGCGGTGCAGGCCTGGCCGCCCTTTGCTTTGAACTCGGCGCAGGCGGCCGCCGTCTTCGAGGCGAAGGGGTGAGGGTTTTAGGGTTTAGGGTTTAGGGGTTTAGGGTTTAGGGTTTAGGGTTTAGGGGTTAGGGTTTAGGGTTTAGGGTTTAGGGGTTTAGGGTTTAGGGGTTTAGGGTGTATTACGGTTGCTGATATAATTCCTGCATTACACCATAATAAGGAATGTGCCATAGTTACCATACTTTAGGGTCCTCAAGGTAATGCAGGATTTATATCATCAACAGGGGTGTATTATGTTAAGCATTCCAGCGAGTTTAGGGTCTAGGGATTTAGCGTTTTGGCTTTGGGGCTTAAGGCTTGGGGGACAAGAGCTCAGTGCAGCGAGTTTCGAGATGCTTGGGGTCTCAAGGATCACAGGGTTAGGGTTGAGAAAAGGGTTAGTGCCTCCCTGTGCTTTGCTTGTTCTCATGTTTGCAAAAAAGACCCCCGAGGCATGGCAGACGCGACCGTGGCGCGCCGAGGCCGACGCTGGACAGGGCACTGGGAAGTCCCAGGCATGTTTTTTAAAAAATCACTATACTATACTATGCTATGCTATACTATACTGTACTATACTATACTATAGAATTATGCTAGGGTGTTGGTTTCGGGTTTAGGGCTTAAGGGCTTTCGCCGTGCTTTTTCAGGCTTCTGCCGGCCTCCAGCTGCTGGATGGGGCCATCCTCACACCCCTCTTGACGCGGCTTGTCTGTAAGATTGGGGTCGGATGGACTATTAATTAGGGGTTTAGGGGTTTAGGGTTTAGAGTTTAAGGTTTAGGGTATAGGGTTTAAGATTGGGGTCGGATTGGCTAGTACACGTAGTAATATCCCGCCCGGCCCTTGTAGTGGCTCCTAGCTGTGCAATTCCTCGAGTCGGTTTTCCAAGAGCCAGATGTGGTGAGGTCACTGGTTGTAGCTCTTCGTGCCGAAGGCTCGCCCCTTTATGCAAGAGAGGCTGGCCTCGGGCTGGTGGGTCGAAAGGTTCTTCCTTGGTCGGAGAGAAGACGATCTCCATGGAGCCACGGTGGACAAAGACTCTCGCCACTTGCCACAACGTAACTTCGGGTGTGTTTCATGGAAACCGTGCCGTTGCACGGTTGAACCAAGAAAAGCGCGGTTGTTCGGAAAGCTGTGTTGCCTAAGAGACTTCTAGATTGCCTCTGAACCGCTTCCAAAGACTCTCCGGGAGCTTCAAACCTCGGAGCCCTGCCCCTAGCAGCCTAAATTCCGACACGGTTACCTAGAGTTCTCCTTCAACAAAACCACAGATTCCGGACCCAGGATGGGCTCCTGAGTGAGACACTTGGAGTGGGCTCCTGCAACGAGCAAGGCCGCGACCTACAGTCGAAGCAGAAAGGTGGCTTTTCGTTACAGCGATAACTTGTAACAAGACGACTTTTCGAATACCTGCTCAGTAGCAGTATCATCCTCATCTACTCAGAGCGTTCATAGAATAGTAGTTTTGCATAGTAATAACATGAGAAGAGTGTCAGGTGTTCTGCAAATCACAGCTCCCGGAGCCTTGGCGCTTCAGCGTGCTCTGGCTCATTTTGGAGCTTCCGACCTTGACACAAGGTTTAGGGGTTTAGGGGTTTTGGGGGGTTTAGGGTATAGGGGTTTAGGGTTTAGGGGTTTAGGGGTTTCAGGGTTTAGGGTTTAGGGGCTAGGGGGCTAGGGGGTTTAGGGGCTTAGGGTTTAGGGTTTAAGGCAGGCGCTGCGGTAGCGGGATGCCTCCTGCCCCGAGGTACTTATACGTTCTTGGTCGCATCATCGTACGCGCCGATGTGCCTCGTTTGAAATCCGAGCCGGGACTGAAAGGCTGTGTAAGGAGCGAGACCGCCGTGCACATATTCTCGGGGGTGCTGCTGCTTTTGAGTGGTCTCGTGCAGGCTGGCAAACATGCAGCGGATTCTGTTCGAGGATCCGTGCCTAGAGGTTGTGCATGAGTCCCTGCCGCAAAGCAGGTTTTCTAAAAGCTTCACATGAATTCAGTCTTGCCGGGATGGCTCAAGCCGTTCTTTAAAGTCAGTACTCGTTCAGAGCCATGGGCGCAGAAGAAGACGGGGAGAGGTGCTCTTAAGATCGTTTGCCTTTAGCTCGGAGAGTGCTGTGCCTGCTTTGTGGGTTTTGCTGCCCTAAACTCCCTAGACCCTAAACCCCAAAACCCTAAACCCTAAACCCTAAAACCCTAAACCCTAAAACTTTGCTGCCAGACAAGCCAGCTCCTCGACACAGCCGGCAGCCGAGTCCCATGATGGCGAGGCACGGGCTGCTCTTGTTCCCCCGGTTAGAGTCGCTTTCGGTGGCAGAAGCCGTGCTTGCAGGCTGTCCTCAAAAAGCTTCATATCTTGCCCCTCAAAGAGGCGGACAAGAAGATCAAAGGCTGGGTGGTCTGAGCACCACCACCTCTACTGTAAGAAGTACCAAGTCCTGGTGTTTCGGGATCTGCACGGCCCCCACCGTGCTACATACGGAGGAATTCCTTGTAAATTCCACACGTGTTGTGTCCCTGAGGCCGTCAGCGAATGGATTTTCTTGCAGAGACATTGCGCCAACTGCGAAATACGAAAGCGACGGTGTGCTCTGGGGACTTGGTGAGAGTGGCTCGTACAAGCTTGAAGCACCGGTGTGGCTTTAAGATTTACAGGTGAAGGTCCTTAGGTCCTAGTCCTTGGCTTCGTAGGCCCTAAACCCTAAGCCCCTAAACCATAAACCCCAACCCTAAGCCCTAAACCCTTTTCACCCGTTTTATCGTTTGCCGGATGCAAGGCGAAAGAGGCGGAGTTCGTGGTCATCAAGTGTGACCCGCCTCAGGGTTGCCTGGGAATGGAGACAGATTTCTTTGTTGACGGAGCCCCGGTGATCTGCTGCTCGGGCTCAGAAACAAGACACTTGCTTGTTGGCAATATCTTTGATGTATGCTTCACCTGTCAACGAGCGACTTCACCCGATCTTTAGTCATCAGCTGGGTAGTTCTCTAAATGAGAGTCCCTTTTCAAGTCCCCAACATAGTACGGCACCCCGTATAAAAAAGGACCCTAAAAGGTGAGCCTCATTTAGAGAACTACCCAGCTTCGTCTACTTCTTCGATCTTGCTTCGGCCCCTTCCCAGGCTTTCAGAAGCACTAAACATAATGGGAAACAAATATTTTTCCCCATTATGTTTAGTGCTTCGGCCCCCCCCCCTTAGGCTTTCAGAAGATCCAGTTCAGCGCCTGGGGTCCCAACACACTGAGCTCCGAGGAGCTCTTCAACGATTCTGGGCTGTTGTTGAGGGGTTTAAAGTTTTGAAATGCTATAATGGGGGTCTAGAGTAACTAGTAGTTGAGTTTTTGAAATGCTAAAATGGGAATCTAGAGTCTAGAGTAAATAGTAGTTTAATTTTTGAAATGCTATAATGGGGATCTAGAGTAAATAATATGGTTTCCTTATTATGGTAACTTAGGTTAAATCCCTTAGCAAGAGCCCAGGATTACGTCCGGCCATACTTCAAAGGTGAGTATTCGCCGTATGGAACGGCCGGTGTGAAGAGAGTCAGACTGCTGTACACGGGACAGATCGTCCAGGTGCCGGTTGAACCAAAAAGATTTGCCTTGAAGGTATTGGTCTATCCATAGGCTCCTAAGTAGTTCCTTTTTATGGTTCATATGTAGAATCCTATAAGGTAATCCCAAAAAGGAACCACTTAGGGGCCTATAGGTAGGGAGGAGTCTGCCAAAAGAAGAAAGTGGCACCAAGAAGGGGCGACCTTGCACCCTTCCTTAAATCAAGAGACCACCCCCTAAACAGGCCTGTTTTATAGACTATGGCCTTCTGTTGCAAGGCTACTAGGGTTCCATGATTTTTTTGTTATGCTAGCTCTCAGGTGGGCGAGGTGTGCTTACAGGTCGAGGCAACAGAGCCCCAAGGGCTCGGAATGGTGTCCACGGATACAGAAATCTTTGCGAACTGGGACACAACTCCCGAGTTCGAGAAAGTGCATATTCTTCCCTTCATGGACACCTTGCCCAGTGCCTACCAATACGAGCTGTTTGGAGATTACCTTAAGCCGTACCTGATGGCGAATCAGCACAGGAAGTACCAGCATGGTGACCTCTTCACGTATCAGGGCGTGCAGTTCAAAGTTGTAGCTTGTGAGCCGCCCGATGTGGTTGCTCGGATCGGGAAGAGTACCACCATCTTCTGCCAGGGGCACCTGACCCCGACGTTGCGGAACCTTTTGCCCCCACATTTGATGAGCCAGGTGGCGCAGCTCCCACAAGGCCTGCAGATGCTCCTGCTCAGCTCCGAGCGAACCACTAGGGAGCTCGAAGACATGCTGAACCATCGGCGAGGGCTCTTCCAGGACACCATCCAACAAATCGAATCCTTCACGTGGCCCGCACCTCCGCCACCCCCTGGAGTTCCCGAGAGACCACAGACTACGTGTATGATTTGCCTCGAAGACTTTGAATTGGGAGATAAATGCCGACGTCTTCCTTGTGGCCACGTCTTCCATGAGAAATGCATCGATGAATGGCTCAAGAGATGCACCGACTGCCCAATTTGCAAGGCAAATGTTGACCGTGCAATTCGAGATTACTGAACTCGCCACCTTGGCGCTCTGCTAGATTCAATCGCACACCTTTCGGCCAAAAAGAGTCCGAGAAGGGTCATCATTGCTACTTTCAAAGGCATCAAGGCATGAAGTGAGCTGCCAAGCCTTTCGCTAGGATGCCGCGTGGGCCTTTGGCGAGTCGTCGCCCAAAGCTGAGGCAGGGTACTTTGTGACGTTATCTTTCCCTACTATTTGCTACTACGAATACTTGTAAGACCAGCAGTCTTGCGCCCACTGCTGCCGCGACTGCTGCTGCTGTTGCTGCTGGAAAGGTGACACTACTAAACTGAAGTCCGAGCACAACTGTGCCACTTTGAAACAGTGGGATCTGTGTAGATCATGCATGACTCTTATTGTTGTTGGTAGAAGCTGTATCGACCAACTAATTCCAGCTGCGGTTCTCGAAGCAGGTCCACGTGGATCGCCGATTGAATGTGATGGGCAGCGGCTTGCAACACAAGGCCGGAGCTCATTATTCTGTGTGACTGTCCATCAGCATAAATAGCGAAATAGACGGTGGATTGCTCCTGTTGTCTTCACCGTGACCGCCATGATCACCAACTCTTTTATGCTTCTCAGCTGATTTGTCTGTGAGGTTTTCTTCCGCGACTTTCTCGAGCTCATACGACCACTCTTTGCCACGAGCGACTTTGCCGAGCAGCCTCGATACATAGCCGACACAGGCAGCCGGTCTCCCGCTGCGGGGATCGAATACCGTAGTGCAATGCATGAGTATACATAGGCACCCGTATAGTATGTATATATATATATACATACATACACACACATACAAATAAAACCAATATTTGAGAGGGGACATGCGTTCCCACCTTTCTCCCCCAAAGAGGGCGCAGAGTTTGGCGAGCACCCCAAAAGCCCCAAAGGCTCTGAGGCCATGGGCCCTAAGCTCTAGTACATCCCGAAGCTGAACCTTACGACCCCAAAGCTGAAACATCCCCTTGCGGTGCTATAGCACTGCCAGTAGAACGAAGCCCCCCGACGGGCTGAGTTTGATAGGATGTGGTGATGGCAGCCTCCTGTGCCAGATCTACGAGTTTGTCAAGCTGCAGCTTAGCAGTTAAGGGTTTAGGGTGTAGGGGTTTCGGGTTTAGGGTTTTGGAAGGAGTGGGAAGGAAGAGTGCCGACTACGGTTTAGGGTTCAGGTTTGGGGGCCAAGACTTGCGATTTCTAGGAAAGCGACTTAGGCAGACTCCACGAGGACGAGCATTGAAGGAGTTTCCCTTGACGATGATTGGCATCGACTTGCCGCTCATCTTTACTTGATCGTGCTTGAGTGCCATCGAATCTGCATGATGTTTCCCAGCCAGAGATATCTTGGTGTGGCGTTTGTGTCAGAGGCTGGAGGTCAGCACAGTCCCAGCGAACTTCAATGATCCGTCTGCTTGGCTCGTTTCGCATGCCGAGGAGTGCAAGCGCTCTTGCTGCAACAGCTGACACGCTGCGGGCAAGGCGCGGTATCCAAGCCATGCATAGGTCCCATTCCCACGGCCGCCCCGGTGGTCGGCCTGCAACCACTTAGGTAACTAAGCATGTACGACCTTCGTCAGAAAGACCGCTTGGCTTGGGGGATGCCCGGCACTTCGATCTACCAGGAACCCGTGAGCCACTGGAGTTCTCTAGAGACATCGGCCTCACCTTGCGCCCTACGTCATGCACATCCGACTACTTGGAGGTTCATGGGTAGTTATAAGTAGGGTTATAAGTAGGGTAACCTATAGTTATAACCTATATTAGAGGACATCTAACTCCACTTATAACTACCCATGAACCTCCAAGTAAGCCAGGGGTGTGCCCCATCAGCTGTTGGAGGGTGACATCGGAGATCCAGGCAGGCGCGAGCTCACAGCAGGAAAGCATGTTGATGTGCTACGATGTGCTCCATTCCTTGGGGAAAGCGTTAGGACTCTGTTGGCTCGATATACACCCTGACATCACTTTGGCGACACATCCTTGCCTTGTTCTGCGAGCATTCTTCAGGCGGCCTCTGCAACGAGCTGCGGCGATTGAACCTGGATCCGAGGCAAATGCGTGAAACAACTATGGAGTAGGCTGTGATAGACGTTCGAGTGCGGTTCCGACTGGATCCGGTGCCTGAGAAATCTGTAGTGCTTGGAGGCTCATGGGTAGTTATCAGTGGAGTTATAAGTCCCCTAATATAATAGGTTATAGCTATAGTTACCCTACTTATAACCCGACTTATAACTACCCATGAACCTCCAAGTAGAATTATGGAAGTCTCAGAGGCATCGGCCTTGTCGGCTACAGAGAATCCTGACCTGGCGAAACCTGAGGCTGAATCCCGACTGCTCGTCCTCAGGCTCTCGACAGAGCGAACCATCTGGTCTTTGGGCCCACAAGTGAAGCATGAGCCTTTGGAAAACCCCTGACACGGTTGATGATATAAATCCATAATTCCCATGGCTCAGGGTCCTTGAGGTAATGCAGGATTTTTATCATCAACAGCAATACATCCTGAGCCCTGCAAGCACCGAAACTCCGAAACCCGGCACCCTCGAAGGCAGACGCTGCATGTGCGCTCCTTCCTGGACCACGATCGGCCCTTCCGGATGCCCGCCCATCCTCTCCGAGCAGGCACATCCCCAAAAGGAGTACTAGTCTAGTCTATTGTCCTGTGTTGTCTGGGCATGTTTGCTTGTACGTACTATCGTATCTATCTTCACGTCTGGATGATTTTTGGATACATATACATATAGAGCTACGCATACATACTCGCACAACGGTGCATGTACATTTCTTATAGGACTGTGGTATGTCCGTTCCTTTAAAGCATTACGTGTTCTGCTATAGTCGCTGATGTTATCTTACAAACTCAGCCCCTTCGGGTACTTGGCGGAATGCCCTTGCAAGGCAGCTCCCGCGACCTCTTCGTGGCTCATCACTTCGACCAGGCCTCCGCGCCATGCGGGTTTAGGGTTTGGGGTTTAGGGGGGTTTAGGGTTTAGGGTTGAGGGTTTAGGAAAGTTCAGGGTTTAGGGGGGTAGCCTTCTGCTTTTTCTTGCCCGGCCTTTGATATGGGCTGTCACAGGTTATTATCCCGCTGCAAGAGGGATGTAGACTGATTTGGTGGCATCTGTGTGGGAGGCCGTCTACCTTGACCGTTGCGGCAAGGTGATCAAGCCGGTGGACACTTCGCCGGACAAAGCAGACTCTGCATCATGAACACGAGAACTTTGGCTGTTTCAAGGCGCCGAAGTCATACGAGCTGGACCTCGCATGACTCCGGATTGCGGCTCTGCATCCCCAGGATATCTACCAATCTCTGGTGGAGCACTTCGGACGCTGGGCAGATGCTTCTGGTGAGCATGGTCTCTGCATTCTGGAGGCTAGGAGTGAGCTTTCCGGTGGAGATTCTGGCTTGAGGATGCAAGTGAAAATTCCCATAAGGTTACACTCCTTCCCGTTCGACTGTCCATTGCCTGAGTGGGGACCCACCGCTGCTCTGCTGTTTGTTCAGGCCATGCTGCTGGACGTGCCCAGTACTGCGAAGTACTTCGATGAGAATGCTCCTCGCATCACACTGCAGTCTGCATGTCAGAGACTGTCTGTTGTGCCGCTTGTCGGCTCAGCAGCCGCAGTCAAGCCTCTTGTTTCAGATGAAACAGCCAGCGACATCCCAACCAGGTGTCGTTCCACTTTGACATTGAGGCGGCTTTGTCGAGGCGCAGCGGGTCCAGTTTGCAGCAGGAGCTCGCAGCTGCCAAGCAAAGGAATGTGAGATTCTGACTTTGGAAGCCTGTCTTAGTCTAGGCATCAATCAACCCCCATCTCGGAGCCAGGCAGTATTTGGTTCCTCCCGTTGCCAACTGCATGGCCTTGGCGGAAGCAGGCCAGGATTGAGTGCCATTGCGTCATTTTTGGCAAGTGCTGGTGCTCTGTGCTTCTGCAGGTCTGTTCAGTTGCACGGGTGATGCAAGCTCACACTGCTACCCTGCACTTCAGCCGCAGAAGAGGGGTTTTCAGAAGGAGTTGTCTTCGAACAAGAATTGGACCTTGGCCGCTGTCATGTCGTGGTACTTCACATCGACAATGCAGTTTCTGAATCTCTAAGGAATCTGGCGAGTACTGCCGCATCATGAGCCAGCATGTCAAGAGGCTCGTGGCAGTGAGACATCCATGTCAGAGCATACCATCGTCCATTTAGACACCCTAAAACCCTAAATCCTAAACCCTGAACCGTAAAACCC